ATGTTGTATTCAAGAATAGAAGTGAGCGGTAGCTGCCGAGTAACTAGTAACCACAACTACAAGTAATTGGTTGCGTTTCGTTCTGGTTCTGGTAATGTTTCGTTGCTGCATCCATGTACTGGCATCTTTGCAACGGTTGGGGATATGATGTTGCTATTCTAACAGCTCCTAGCTGATGCTCGTTTTTCCAGAAGATTTCCATTTTTACCCCACTTGGGGTATAACTTACCTCATTTAGGTTATAATTTACCTCATTTCGCCAACAACTGTGCTCCACGCTAAACGTTTCTCAACTAACGCATACGTGCATGACCGTGATTCTAACTGACCTGTCAACCTCCCAGTCCCTGTCTGCGGAATGTGAGTAGGCGGCACCTGGTGTGGCATGTGTTATTCTAGTCGTGGTCAGCAGACCGGTTGATTTCCCTGCAAGACAAAGATTGATATTCTTTAAATACACCGAAAAACATCAAATGTGCTCAGACTCAAGCTTCGGGCACCTTCCTACGCGCAGCTTAAAGTTCGAACTTGGTTACTCAGACTCAACCTCATATCAAATTGTTCACTAAATAAGATAATGTCAATTATGTATTACACTCCCCATAGGATTTGTCATTTATTGACGGGAATCTATTAATAGAACATCCGGGCGTGCAGGCTGGCCAATCTCACTGAGATATTAATAAAACACTGTTCGTTACTTCTACGTCAATGTAAGCCGGTGTAGTGGGTCTTAACCTAGACGAAAACATGGTTACAACTTTATTTCACCACAAATTTTACAAACAAATTGTTACTGATATAATAAATACAGATAAGGTATACAGATTGAGTTTGCTCAAACAGTGCGAAACTGGGTGTCTGCTTAGAGAGAACATAGCTATGGAAAATCACATTAACGTGCTTTGCAAGGCGATTTTTTCTAGAGCTGCGCAGGATTAGTCATATCAGACCTTTCTTAACGTTCGAAGCATCAAAGAGGCTGATGTCTGCATTCCTGTTACCACGCATGGACTACTGAAATGCTCTCATGGTGGGTCTCCCAGCTACGCTCCTGGATAAAATTCACGGAGCACAGAATAATGCGGCTCGCATTGTTCTTCGCAAACGCAAAGTCGACCATGCTAAAACACTTCTGAGAGAGCTGCACTGGCTGCCGGTCCGCGCCCGCATAGAGTACAAAATAAAAACTGAATTCTAGATGTTATAAAACCATGCATGATATTCTCTTGTTTAGTCAAGCTACGCTCTTAAGACCCTGGCCATTTAGACGACAGCAGGCCTCATCAGGTGGGCGTCACCGTAGATTAAATTGTCAACACAGGTCACTGTGTTCTACTCTCCAGTTCCTGCTTCGTTATTATCAGGACACTCCACTAACAGATGGACAACGGTTTAGAAGGGGGGGGGTGTAGGCAACAGGCAATTCGGGTCAGATCGGTTCAGGTAGCTTGCGCATGGGGGGCAGTGTTCCGTCCTCCTTTGTGTCACAAGGCTCTGCTAACACCGTCCTTGTTAACACCAGTCAACAAACTGAAGACGTCATGTTACAAAAAAATAAATAAATAACGCCAGCTCACGAGTTTAACACGAACCTGCACTGATGGACCATCTTAAGATGGAGTCAACATGAGCACCCTGGGCGGAGCTACAGTTGTATCTCTGTGCGGCGCCACTCAGCCCAAGTAAGCCCTGATTGGTCTTCACCCCTGTCAAGTAGGCGGTTCCAGAAGCAGCAGAGTCGGTGATTTGACGATCGACATTGTAAGTCTGATAGAAGACACAATACGTGTTAGTGGAATTCTTATGAATAAGTCTTGAGATAATTGCAGTTTATCAACATTTTTATTTAGTTATTATATATATCTATATCTATATCTATATCTATCTATATATATATATAAATATATCTATCTATATCTATATCTATATCTATATATATATATATATATATATATATATATATATATATATATATATATATATATATATATATATATATATATATAT